TATAACCCATAACATATTATTACCGTTAGGTTAGCTAGACATATAATAAATGCAGGATAGGTAAACTGCTCTACTTGGCACTTGACTTCAGTTAGAAACCAGATCCAACGCAGTCAGCAGCAATGTATGATTTAAAAAAAACACCAGACCCCATTGATTCAAGAATCTTTTGCACACCAGTGATTGATCTGAGGTGAATTGCAAAAGTAATGTACTGAGATTCAGGATAGTGTGAGGAAAATAGTGTCAATTTGCCCTATTAGTCAGAGAAAGAGCACCATATCAGTAGTCCTCAGAAGGACAATACAAATTAAGGGTGGACTAAATAACCTAATCCACCTCAATCATTACATTATTCCCTACAATTCCCTATACATTATTCCCTACAATTTCTCTGTGCTTTACCCTATCTAGTGTTAAATTGCTGAAGGCAAGAGTCCTCTATTTCATTGAAAAACTTTTCCATAGTCAAACATTCTCCATCTATGTATATTGTAAATTCCATTAGGCTCAAAACATGCTTTCTGCATTTTGTTCAGAGCCAAGTATATTGTCAACACTTAAACAGGGAATAAATTTAACTACTGGTTCTTATTAATTAATGCCTAAAATGGTAAAATTGGACTTGTTGACTCAGTTTTCACAATTGTTACTACTATGGAGTCCATGTTTTTAAATGGTCACCTTAAAATAAAGGGAAGCTGAACAAAGAGTGGCAGCAGCAGCTGGAATCATGACCATGTGTCCAAACAAAGTTTATTCATAAGACTGAAGGAAATTGTGGCACAGCTGCAAGGGAAATACTTACAAAGTCAACAAGTACTCCAGAACTGAAGGATGGGAACATAACCAAAGGACTGAGAATTCTACAGAGAGTTAGATAACCCCCCTTAACTTCACAATTAATTTTTCAGAAAACTGAAACTGAATCTTCTCATCTCATAATTTTTAAAGACTGCAGATGCCAATTTTTACTTCTGTTATTTATTACCAGAACTGGTTAATATAGCATCTCTCTCTCTCTGTTCCTAAACAAACAACTTGAAATCTGACTAACTTTTTCCTAATCCATAACACATTTTCTTTTAAAGCATTAACAGTGAAAACTGACTGGCATTTCTGAAGAGGTGTGGTGGCTGGTTGCACCCCAGTTCTTAAAAAGAACACAACTCATAAGTAGTCTGTATTTTCCTGAGCTCAGGAATGATATCCTCAATTGTCTTCCTCCATCCTGATTCTTTGTTGGGCAATCTTATATGTGCCACATAGCCCCAGTACCTGAGTACCACACAATCTTTAATGCACTTGGGCATGTCTACACTACATGGAAGATTGATGCTGCTATGGTCAAGCTTCCCATTAAATCAAACTCAGTGGGCACCCCCATCAGTACCAGTACTCCTGCTCCTCATAAGGAGTGAGGGAAGTTGATGGGAGGGTTTGCTGGATTTACATAGCTGCAGTTGCGTATCTTATTTAGTACTTCCACAGCAGAGCAGACCAGGCCTTATTCTCACAAATATACTTGTAAATTAGCAAAGTAATATAATTAGCCTCCTCTTTCAGACTGGAAATGAGGCACGGAGAGACTGAGCACCAGACCCACAAAAGGGACTTAGGTCTTGCCATGATGAGCATCACAATGCCTAATTTTCACATGACTAGAAAAATTACAGGAACACTGTTACAATCCACAAAAAACCTGAGTTCGGCGCCTACATTCCCTATACAATGTATGGAGAGAGATAGCCAGCATACTAGGGAGCTGCCTTAGTTAGCAAAAGGGAAATTCCAACCACCAGGGTGTGTACTAAGCCCCGATTCTCTCCCTGAGACAGGCCCTGAAGTCAGGTGTCTCCCTGCAGCCCAATCTCTGCTTATGATTCACAAATCAGGGAAACACAAGCATTCCATGGCCTAAGCCATATGCAAGCCTGACCAAACAGGCACATTCAGATGCCACCTAATTCCACACACAATAGCCGGGAGGAAGAAGGGGAGGTGAAAGATCTCCCTTATAACCTTGTGGTTAGGGTACTGATCTGAGATGTAAGAGAGAGTCTTAGTGTTCAAGTCCCCGATTTGCTGAGAAGGAGAAGATATTGAACAGGGATCTAACTCTGAGTATAGTGGACCACTGCCCTAGGATATGGAGCCATTCTAATTTTTTTCCTCAGACCAAATTAAAACTTAATTCTCCTATTATAAATAGGAGAATAAATGTCAGAATATGCCATAACCAATGGGTAAAGAACTCACTCGAGAGATCAGAGATCTCTAATCAAATCCCTTCTCCCACTTCCCAATTGAGTACCCTGGCAACAAGGTTAAAGGTCGTAAGGGAAGTCTTCCTCTCTTTCTTCTCACCCTTTACTCTCAGGGGGTATGTCTACACTACCCCGCTAGTTCGAACTAGCGGGGTAATGTAGGCATACCGCACTTGCAAATGAAGCCCGGGATTTGAATTTCCCGGGCTTCATCTGCATAAACTGGGCTCCGCCATTTTTAAATCCCTGCTCGTTCGAACCCCGTGCCATGCGGCTACACGCGGCACGAACTAAGTAGTTCGGACTAGGCTTCCTAGTCCGAACTACCGTTACTCCTCATTCCAAGTAACGGTAGTTCGGACTAGGAAGCCTAGTCCGAACTACCTAGTTCGTGCCCCGTGTAGCCGCATGGCACGGGGTTCGAACGAGCAGGGATTTAAAAACGGCAGCGCCCAGTTTATGCAAATGAAGCCCGGGAAATTCAAATCCCGGGCTTCATTTGCAAGTGCGGTATGCCTACATTACCCTCCTAGTTCGAACTAGGAGGGTAGTGTAGACAGACCCAGGCTGTTTTCTGTGAAGTAATGTGGCCTCTCAGCAAGCCAACCAGATTAGGCCCATGCACTTCTTAGGTGTCTTGACTTCTATCACTCTCCTGGTTAATTAATTGCTTTGGAGCTCAGGTGGGAGACAGGCATTAGAGGGTCTAGGGTGAAGAAACAGTGCATGTATTCAACGGCAGAAACATAAGCACCTAGGAAACTCTTACAGCAAAAACTTAAGCACGAAGCAAGGCACCTATGGGTTCAATGGCAGCTAAGCAGTAGTTCTGTGGATAGCAGACGTGCCTAAAAACATTAGTCAGGCACTTAAGTAGTTTTGTGGGTCCCACTCTAAATGATTTGTCCAAGGTAACATAGGATGTTCATGACAGAACAAGATTTTCATCCAGGCCTTCAATGGCTTGCATAGTGCCCTAGCCACTGGATCATCTTTCTTCAGAAGTGTAAGCAAATTAGGTCCTAGGTTAACATATGTATTCTACACTGTTTCAGAGCACAGGGGCTTATCTGAGATGTGGACATAACTGTATTCTCAAAGTTTTGTTTATGTAGTCTCTAAGGACAGGTTTACACTACCTGAGAAGATTGAAATAAGATATGCAACTCCAGCTACGTAAATTATGTAGTTGGAGTAGATGTATCTTACATTGCATTTATATACCATCCACACAGTGGGAGGCCCATGGGAACAAATGCTCTCATAGGCTTCTCTTACTCCTCACAGTGCTGACAGGGGCACCCAGTGAGTTCGATTTAGCCGATCTATACTACACCTGCTAAATTGAATCCCAGAAGATCGATAGGGCAGCATCTATCTTTCGCATAATGTACATATGGCCTAGGTATAGCGGAACTGGTTCTTCACCTTGGAATCTACATTCTGCAGGTATGCCAGTTTTATGTTTAAGTAGCTCCTCAGGAAAATTTAGAAAGGGCTACACTATGAGGAACCGGCTACTGTATTTGTATTCTACTATCTGTTTCAGGTGCTGGAAATTTTAACATGATAGTATGCTTTGGTGAAGAGTGACCTAGGTAAAATATATATTAATATTTAGGAAAAAAAGGTAGGAGATAAAAAAACACATTCAGTACTAGTGTCACACACTAAGCCAAATTGTGCAGTGGGTGAGCAAGGAGTTGTAAATGAAATTCACACATGCAAATAAACCCAACCTGAATGAAGAATTCAAACAAGGCAAGCAGGTTTAATTCCTGGACATAGACTAACTGAAGTGTAGGAGTATAAGCTTTCGTGGGCAAAGACCCACTTCGTCAGATGCATGCACTGGAAATTTCCAGAGGCAGGTATAAATATGTAGGCCAGAATCATATTTATACCTGCCTCTGGAAATTTCCAGTGCATGCATCTGACGAAGTGGGTCTTTGCCCACGAAAGCTTATGCTCCTACACTTCAGTTAGTCTATAAGGTGCCACAGGACTCCTCGTCGCTTTTGCAGATTCAGACTAACACAGCTACCCCTCTAATTCCTGGACATAGTAGACTAAATTTTTAGCTTGGTTACACTTGTAAGACTCCAGTAAGTCAAATTCCGCTAATGGTTTTGCCCTAATGGATTCTAGTATCAGTAGAAGAGCAAAATGTAAAAGGGAAAAATGTGTTACTTGCTAAATGTTATTTAACTACATACAGTAATCTCCATTAAAAACATCAGCTTACGTCAATAAACATTACATATAAGAGTAACTACAGTAAATTTTGATTTTTGCACTACCTGTAATAATTAAATAACTTTACATGTTGAAAATTGATTGGTAATTAAAAGTAATATATCCCCATACTAATTATTTATATTCTCACCAAGCAGTACATGCTACCAGTTACCATGGAAATAAGGAACACACACAATATTAGTGCCTGAAACTTGAAGCTTTATCAAGTATTCTGTCATTCTAGTAGGGTTAACATAAAATCTTATCTCCCTACACAACCTAACACAACAGGCAGGGAACTCTGAGAACATTTCATTATATCTACAATATGGTTCAACTTAAAGTCCTTATTCTACAATTTACATAGTATAAAGTACAGATTGTCTATGAAAGAGGGTGTTGGAACTAGGCCCTGTGTGTGAGGACAAAAGTTATCTGAAGTATCATAGGTTGAAAACATGTAACCACAAAAACTGCATGAATGAAGTGATTTACCTTTTCACCTTCAGCTCCTTTTTTACCCTCAAAGCCACGCTCTCCCTGTTTATAAAAACAAATGACGAGATTTGTGGATAGAAAATGTTAAGCAAATCTCATGTATAGGACAAACATTCTACACAATTTATATTCTATTTACAGTAATTTGTATTTCAGGTTAAAAATAAGGCTAGATGAGACCACACAACTTGGATACTGAATATCTTTTATTCATATTAAAAGGTCTCAAACTTATGTGGAAAACTTTCTCTGGCTTCGGTAACTAACTCTGTTTATAGTCCATTTTAGTTAGTCCAGTCAACCATGCCCAAGAAACCAATCCTCTCATTCTGAAAATCAGTGTTTTATTTATTTTTCTTTATTTAAACTTTTAAGTCTGATTAGTCATGTGTCAAAAGCTTTCAGTCTGAGGCAGAGAGGTATGAAAATTTCAGCCCAAATGCTTTGAGTTTGGCAAAGTTATATGCAGCTGAAAAGCAAGATCTCAAAGTGGGAAGTGTCAAGCAACTTTAACAGGCAGGGCTACTCGTCCTGCCTATAACAAACATACTTCTTTTCACAAGGTACATCTTTGGTGGTCATCTTATGTCTTGTTAACTGAACATTTGATATTCTGTTAATGAGTACAATGAACACACACCTTTTTGTCATATTTCCAAGAAGCACAAGACAGCCAACATTAAAAATTCCTGACCCAAGATCTGGAAAGATTATACTTTATCGTAAATATAAAAAGAATTAAGTTATGTTTGTATCAGAGGTCTTTTTTTGTAGTAACATAGGGTATGTCTACACATCAAAGTTAATTCAAAATAACAGCCGTTATTTCGAATTAACTTTAATAGAGTCTACACAGGCAAACCGCTATTTTGAACTGATTTCAACTGATTCCAAGCTCTGAATGCAGAACGACATATGCAGGCCACTGTGACTCAGGTATGGTGCCAGAGGCCCAGAGCTAGAGTTCCACTTAGATGTAAGTGAATTTTACACCCTATAAGTAATTTAAAATATTGACCAATTTAAATAGATGGGGAAATGAAGGAAACTTCAGAAATGCAAATATACAAGATAAAACTAAAATGCCTTTACCTTGGAACCAGGAAGGCCAGGAACACCTACCAAGCCATCTTCTCCCTGAAATAAAATGTACATTACCTTAATTATTGGCTATCGCACACATGAAGAAACCGAAAGAAAAATATAAAGGCTGCTTATTCCCAGAAATATTTTCAAACAAATCAAGTCCCATTACAAGTAATTATGAGCAGATACAGGCCAACATTACACCAAGGCTACATCTAGACTACATGGCTCCATAGACAGAGCCATGTAGATTTGTTTGTTCGGCAAAGGGAAATGAAGCCACGATTTAAATAATCGCGGCTTCATTTAAATTTAAATGGCTGCCCCGCTCTGCCGATCAGCTGTTTGTTGGCAGATCGGGGCAGTCTGGACGCTCCCCTGTCAACATGAAAGCCCTTTATCGACCTCCCCGGTAAACCTCATCCTACGAGGCATAACAGGGAGGTCGATAAAGGGCTTTCAGGTCGGTGCAGGAGTGTCCAGACTAGCGCGCTGAGCTGACAAACAGCTGATTAGGTGCTTGCATTATTTCTTATATAACCAATACCAATTGGTGGTTGGGCTAATACAGGAATGATCATGTGGACACCAAGAATTAATAAACGTATTAGGAAAATTATTTCCAATAGCAGAGCAGAATTAACTGCTGGGCAGACGTTAGGCAGATGTGAAAAAAAATCTCTAAGCTAAAGGGGAAAGTTGACTTAAGCAAAAGAAAGCAAGGAAAGCACATAAGCAAAAGAAATATTAAGAATTCTCATGGTAACTGACTAAAGCTCCTTAAAGAGTCAAATTCTAACTTATGCCTCCACAATGGAGAAAATGAAAGAGCTTCCAATGTATTCAATTGGACAGTTCAATGAAAATATCTGTTCAATGTGCACATGTAATCAAAACACTAAATGAGACCTTATTTTGTAGTAGGAAAGGGCTAAGGAAAGGATTAGGCCATTATATAAATTAGTGGCCTTGGTCTACCTTTGAATGCTGTAATTTTTTCGGCACTTTACCAGCAAAAGCAGATAGCACAAACAGAAGTGATTCAGATGAGTGATGGAAATACTTTTTATTTTATTATTGATCACAGTTCATTATTTTAACATGTAGATACCTGATTTTTATGTATTACATGAATCAGGTAGTAATATAAGATTACTTAAAATGGTACCAAAATTAATTAAAAATCACATAACCTATCCATATTTTAAAGGGTAAGGAGAAACTTATACCAAAAACTTAGAACAACTTAGAATCATTAAGTGCATCACATGCTTTAGAACCAGAGCTGGCCCACAACATTTTGGCACCTGAGGTGGGGAGCTCAAATGATGTCCCCATGACACCTTTTCTCCTGCCTGCCTGTTATGTCTCTTGTGCCCTCTTTCCTCCAGTATGGCACTCAATCATCTCTATGCATCTAGAGCAGAGAGAATACATATGCACCTAGCAGCAGACACAACTTTCTACAGTCTGGCACCTGTGGTGGCAGCCTTAGTTTGCCTCATGGTAAGGCCAGCCCTGTCTAGAACTGACAGCACTTTAGAAGTTAATGTGGTATACATCACATCAAACATAGTAGAACTTAATGAGATTCTTTTTTGGGATAAGAATGAAAATAATTACTTGAAAAACACTTTAAAAGTTTATAAATATTTTACCAACAAAGTTTATGAAATCCAAGATGTTTAGCTATTTCCCATCCTCAATATAAAAGTAAGTAGTCCTTTTGTATAATTTGAACTACTATTTCAAGTTTGATTTACAGGATTTATATGATATTTTAGAAACACTAGTCATGCAATTCCTGTTAATATCAATTAAAGTAATGCAGTTAAAGCTTATTCACAGTTTTGAAATCCATGTTTGCACCTTTCATTTACTTTGAGAATTCCAGGCCTTTGGATCCACTTAAAGGCCCAGCCTTTGAATATGAGGACAACTATTTTTAGCGGTAAAGAAATGGAGCGGAATGATCAAAATGTACCACCAGAGGGTCATATTATGGGAAGAACAAGCCTAAAACCACAAAAGAGGTTATTGCTTTTTTATAAATAAAAATATCAGATTTTCCTCCACTGGTATGATATTTTCCTGATCTTACTGGAATGTTACTTTGTTTTCCAAAGCAAATGGTTAGAATCACCTTTTGAAGTATAATTTGATTTAAAAAACCCCACCAACAGCAGATACTTACTAGTGCTCACACTGAGAATCCTATGGACTAGTCATGTCCTGGAGCCAGCTTCAAATTTTGACATTTTTGTTTCATGTTCACACTTCATTTACAGACCCAGAACACACATTTTCAAAGCACACTAAGGTCAGGGAGAACTGTCAATATTTAGCACTCTGAAAACTCAAGCCTTAAGGGCTCAGTTCAGTTGTGCCTTGCAGCCCCTTTGAACAAGCTAAATTAACAAAGAGGGACCTTGTAGCAGGCCTAAGGCCTTCCCAAGAATATCCCAAATACCTCAGGAGTTACAGAACAATCTCCTACCTCTCTGTGCTCCTTCCACAGCAGCCCCAGAGTAGGAGACATTTACATCCTTGGTGATTCTGTGCCACTGATACTGTACATACAAGTCAGCTGACCCTCAGAAGATAACCTAACCTAAGGTGAGGGCTGAACCAGTCCTTTCCTTACACTGGCCCCAGCACAGAGATAATGTGACTCTGGATGTCAAGTCAGATACCGACAAATTAAGGCGACCAAACTAGATAGTTGAAAATGTAAGTTGTAGTTGTGATGTTGGCAGATTGGATGCCGGCACATGCCAAAGTCTCTAGGTCTCAGCTGATCACTGACAAATGTGTACCTAGAATCAGTCTGCTCACTTGAGTGTTAGTTATAATGCTAATATTTACTTTAACAATAAGAATGTATTTAGAATTTATGAAATGCTTGTACGTTGCTTCATGTATTAATCTCCCAGATCGTACTGGTGGGGGAGTGGTACTATATGTGAAAGACAGGTTAGAATCAAACGAAGTAATAATCTTAAATGAACCAAACTATTTCACAGACCAGAATTGGGTACACGTCACTTCAGAACAGGATGCAGAGATAAAGTTCCTTGACTCCTTTAATGACTGCTTCTTGGAGCAGCTGGTTCTAGAACCCACCAGGGGACAGGCAATTCTTGCTTTAGTCCTAAGTGGAGCAAAGGAGCTGGTCCATGAGGTGAATATAGCTGAATCACTTGGATATAGTGACCATAACATAATTAAATTTAACATTCCTGTGGTGGGAAAAGCTCCATAGCAGCTCAGCAGTATGGAATTTAATTTCAGAAAGGGGAATTACATAAAAATGAGGTTAATTAAACAGAAATTAAAAGGTTCAGTGCCAAAAGTGAAATTCCTGCTAAAGCTGCATGGAAACTTTTCAAGGAGCTCAACTTAAAAGATATAATATAGCTCAACTTAAATGTATGCTCCAAATTAAAAAAAAACTTAGTAAGAGAACCAAAAACATGCTAGTGTGGCATAACAACCAAGTAAAGGAAGCAATGAGAGAGATAAAAAGACATCATTTGAAAAGCAGAAGCTAAATCCTATTTACTAAGTATAAGAGGAGTAGCCATGTTAGTCTGAATCTGCAAAAACCTGCAAAAATGACAAGAAGTCCTGTGGCACCTTATAGACGAACAGATTTATTGTAGCATAAACTTTTGTCATAAATTTATTGTAGCATCTGACAAAGTGGGTCTTTGTCCACGAAAGCTTATGCTTCAATAAATCTGTTAGTCTATAAGGTGCCACAGGATTTCTTGTCCTATTTACTAAATTACTTAAACTAGCAAGTAAGACTACATGATCCCCAAGCTCAGTGCTCTAGACCACTCTCTTTAGCTGGCACGGATTCTAGTTTTTTAAATGATTAATTAATATGTTTTAAAATAGTGCATACACCAAGAAAGAATGACTGACACATTTTGTACATTCAACTAAATCAATAAAATAAAGGTATGTGTAGAATTGTTGGTGTTCATAAAAAAAATCAAACATAATTTCTGTTGTCAAACTCACTAATTATTTTTGCACACAATTACAGGAAGAAATATGAGTGCGCGTTTTTGAAAATTTGGGCACAAAGACATGCACAATTTATTTTCTAAATAGTCAAAATGCTATGCCTCTATTTTTTCCTTAAAATATCCTAAGAATGGAATTTATCAAGCTCTTTGAATGGACAACTATCCCTGACTTGATTGACACCATGAAGAACTCCCCAACATCAAAAAAATGCTTGCAAAAGCAGACTCTGCACTGCCAAAAAATCCAGTAACAGCTTTCTTGCATATTCACTTCCATACAGAGAGAAAAACCATTTTTATTTTCTGACATTTTTTCCTTCTGAGTACACTCTCTAACCCTGAGCACAATGCCTTGATTACATCCCACCGATTTCAATGGGAGCAGAACTGGGTGTCAAGGAAATGAACTACAAAAAGAAGAGGAGGAAATGAAGGCAAGTATTTTTGATAAGACATTAGATTGAGTCTCAGTGATCTATGTTCAGTTCCCAGACCTTCTGTGTGACCTAGGGCAAGTCATTTAAATCTCTATTTGCTTCCTTACCTCAGATGGGTATTCTGGGGATAAATTCACTAATGCCTGTGAAGCACTTAAATATTGCAGTGATGGAGTCTACTGAGCAGACAAAAACACTGTACACGGCCAAACAACAGTTTACAATGCTCTAGTGGCTGAAGGCTTTTAAGGTGCTGTACAGTTTCTCTACCTGTGAGAATTACCTAGCAATCAGCCTTGTTATGACCCACCTTTAACTTCCATCCCATAGGCTGAGAAACACTGCTATAAACTGGGCCCCAATAGATGTTAGTAAGGATTTGTAAACTTTTTACACATATGCAATGAGAATGTTCTATGACAGTGTCTCTCAACCTTTCCAAACTACTGGACTCCTTTCAGTCTGATTTGTCTTGCATACGCTTAAGTTTTATTTCACTTAAAAACTGCCTGCTTACAAAATTAGAAACAAAAATACAAAAAGCATCACAATAATATGACTGAAAAACTGTTTACTT